CGCTCGCCCTCCCTCTCTCCCCCTCCCTCTCTCCCCCTCCCTCTCCCCCCCTCCCCTCCCCCCCCACATCATTTATGTTCTCTCCCCGTCTTCGACCACGGACTCTTGACGTTCTGCAGTGTAACGTTAGACTGTGGGTCGGATCAAATCTTTTTTTTTTCAGCCTCTGGTGATTTGGAGCTCAGTTTAGGATAATGACCTGAGAGACTGAACCCCCCCTTCCTCCCTCCCTCTTTCACCCCCCCGCCCAGTGCTGCTGTGTGAAGCTAAAATAAAGACACAAAGAAGTGGGCCACAGACTCTCCTCAGATCCCGTCAGTTCTTCAGTACAGTGTGACTTCGAGAAACTTAATTGAGAGTTAATAATCGGTTCCACAACAGCACTCGGAAAAATTAAGCCGGGTTGATCCCCGGTAACTGGATGTTTCCTCGTAACACGTGGAAAATGGAGTTGTGTTGGTTTCTTATATAAACTGTGTCTGGAGGAAAGATGAGTCCATGGGGGGGCGCGAGTAGGGGGAGAGAGGGAGAAGGGAGGGGGAGGGAGAGTCTGTTCCAATGTTAGTAATGCAACATATCGTAGCCCTGTATCGTGATCCGTATCGTATGGTGACAGGTATCGTATCGCGACAGGTATTGTATCGTGACAGGTATCGTATTGTGACAGGTATTGTATCATGAAAGGTATCGTATGGTGACAGGTATCGTGACAGGTGTCGTATTGTGACAGGCATCGTATGGTGACAGATATCGCGACAGGTATCGTATCGTGACAGGTATCGTATCGTGACAGGTAATCGTATCGTCAGATTCTCGCCGACACAGACCTCTGATGAAAACCGAGAACGTTCGGAAAGAAAAGAAAGAAAAAAAAGACTCGACCCGATGAGGTAGAACACACCGGAGAACATTTGGAGAACGCCTCCGCTGGTCAAAGCCTGTTAGCTTGACCTTTGACCCTCACCTCTGACCTGCATCGAGCACAAACAACTGCCCCTGGTGGTTCTCCATGAGGCGGCGTCCTGCTGGAACCAGAACCTGCTGAATACAGATGTGTGTGTGTTCTACTGCTGTAATCCAGGTCAAAGGTCAAACTCCAAAACCATCGCAGAAACAAACAAACACACTCCTCGAACAAGGCTAACTCTGAAAGGTAACTGATGAAAAAATCACGGGGAGAACTCCCATGAGTCTTTGCAGCGTTGCTATCTTCCTACCCCACCCCCCCACCCTCTGTTGTGTACAGCTCCTCTGATAGGCTTTCAGATCTCCATCTCTTCTCCTTTCATCTCCATTGAAGCTCCTGCTCTCGCCCCCTCCCCCCCCACCCCCCCCCCCCCC